CATCACCATCAACAACGGCAGCATCATCATCAGCATCAGCATCACCATCACCATCCTAATAGTCTTCACCATCGTCATCAGCAGCAGCAGCCTCATCACCATCGTCACCACAATCAGACTGCCTCAAAAACATGGATGGTAGTGTGATCATCGTCACCATCATCCCTCCTTCTCCCCTACCTCCCCTTCCTCCCTCCTCCCTCCCTCCACACTCCTCCCTCCTCCCCCTCCTCCTCCTCCCTCCCTCCTCCGCAGCCCGCCCCAAGAGCCTGCGGCAGCGGGCGCAGATGTCGCACCGCCCCCCGCCTGACGAGGCCCCATGTTCCGAGTTGCCACCCCGTGTTCGCAAACCTCCTCCTCCCTCCTCCTCCTTCTCCTCCTCCTCTCCTCCCCCTCCTCCTCCTCCTCCTCCTCCTCCCTCCTCCCTCCTCCCTCCTCCCTCCTCCCTCCTCCCTCCTCCCTCCTCCCTTCTCCCTAACTTGTTTGCACACTGCGGAGGCGCAAAAGCCATTCCGCGCGACGACGACGCACGCGCAGTCGCGGCGCTCTTCGGAGGTCTGCCTGGCGGCCACTGCTGGGCCGCGAAGTGCCCCCAAGAGTGCAAGCATGCCCCAAATGGTGCACCAAGTAGCGCTCCCCGGAGCGGCGCGCGGCCGACGCGCGTCCGCCCGCTGGCCCGGCGCCCCCGTTGCGCAGGGACTGTCCTTTACAGAGAAAACAATTCCGGGCACGAGTTGAGGCACTATCTGGGGCACCATTTGGGGCCCACTTGGGGGCACAATGTGGAGCGCCACGGGGGCTGGCAAACGTGGACTCAACTGACGTCCTCTCGCCCCCGAGCCAACCATAAGCACTTCCATCGCCGCAGAACTTCCCCCTCCCCCCGTCTCTCCACCCATGCAGTGGTTATCGCACCACTGATAAAACGATTGGCTTTCGAACAATCGCAATGCAATCACATGAGCCCTTTGGAGCCTGAGTGGTTCAGGAAGTTTCTTCTTCCAGCCCCTTTCTTCCCCTTCGGGTAGAGATTGATCACCGTTCCCTATTGATATACACCCCCTCCCCCACCTGACCGGCGGCCAACCTGGAGCCATGACGACCCCATGAGTGCCACCCGCTCTACCATCCCTGTCAAAAAAGCCATACAAAAAGCACTCTGCCTCCACATGTGGAGCATGCGCGGCCGCCCCGCGAACATTTTGAATTGGTGTTTTACGAAGACGGCTGGGGTGCCAGCAGATCCCGACTGCCTTCTGGGCGCAGGTGGTCGACCGACTAGTTTGACACATCAGTGGCTGCTGCCCTTCTCGCACGTTTGTTTCTCGTGCGTGGATGGGGGGGGCCGCGCGCGGTGGCCGGCAACCACAAGCGCGCGCCGGGGCGTGCGCAATTGCTGGCATACTAGCAACAGTTGCGGCGCACGCAGGTGGAGCCCCTATTGGTGCCCAATGGCTGGCGCACCTGGCGCGGCTGGAGTGTACGTGGAACGCTGGGCGCACGTGGAGCACGTCGTTAGAGCGTCCAACACGGCCTCGGCGAGAAGACCAACATCACTAGATTTACTACGGTGTTGGCCGCATGTTGGCCTCGGGAGCGGGCCTAATTAAGGAGCACCCCGCCTTTGATCGAATCTCCTCCAAGATGGCCCCGAGATGGGCCCCGAGGCTCCCAAGGGTATCCCAAGACGACCCCAAGAGGTCTCCAGGAGGCCCCAAGAGGCCCCCAAGACGCTCCAAAGAGGCTCCAAAAGGCTCCCAAGAGACCCCCAAGAAACCCCAAGAGGCCCCCCACAGGCACCAAAGACGCCCCAAGAGCCCCCCGGGACTGCCGAGAATCCCCAAAACGCCCCAGGAGGACTCCAAGAATCTCGCTAAAGACTTCCGAAGAGACTCCGAGAGGCATCATGAAGCCTCTGGCCTTTCTGCTCGCCATCGCCCTCCTCCTCTTCCTCCTCCTCCTCCGCCTCCGCCTCCGCCTCCGCCTCCGCCTCCGCCTCCGCCTCCACCTCCGCCTCCTCCTCCGCCTCCTCCTCCTCCTCCTCTGCTTCCTCCTCCTCTTCTTCTTATCAGTACCAGCAGTACTATTATTAGTAGTGCTCGTACTATTATTAGTATGGTACTAGCAGTACCAATGTAAGTATGAGTGAAGACAGAATTATCACTATTAATATTCCTCATTTATTGTATTGTGATTCCTCCTCCTCCTCCTCCTCCTCCTCCTCCTCCTCCTCCTCCTCCTCCTCCTCCTCCTCCTCCTCCTCCCCCTTCTCCTCCTCCCCCTCTCCTCCTCCTCCTCCTCCTCCTCCCCTCCTCCTCCCCTCCTCCTCCTCCACTCCTCCTCCTCCTCCCTCCCCCTCCCTCCTCCGCCTCCTCTCTCCTCCTGCTCCCTCCTCCTCCTCCTCCTCCTCCTCCTCCTCCCTCCTCCTCCTCCTCCTCCTCCTCCTCCTCCTCCTCCTCCCTCCTCCTCCTCCTCCTCCTCCTCCTCTCCTCCTCCTCCTCCCCCTCCCCCCTCCCCCTCCCCCTCCCCCTCCCCCCTCCTCCTCCTCTCCTCCTCCTCCTCTCCTCCTCCTTCCTCCTCCTCCTCCTCTCCTCCTCCTCCTCCTCCTCCTCCTCCTTCCTCCTCCTCCTCCTCCCCTCCTCCTCCTCCTCCTCCTCCTCCTCCTCCTCCTCCTCCTCCTCCTCCTCCCTCCTCCTCCTTCCTCCTCCTCCTCCTCCTCCTCCTCCGCCTCCTCCTCCTCCTCCTCTTCCTCTCCTCCTCCTCCGCCTCCTCCTCCTCCTCCTCCTCCTCCTCCTCCTCCTCCTCCTCCTTCCTCCTCCTCCGCCTCCTCCGCCTCCTCCTCCTCCTCCTCTCCTCCTCCTCCTCTCCTCCTCCTCCTCCAGCCTCCTCCGCCTCCTCCTCCTCCTCCTCCAAATCCTCCTCCTCCTCCTCCTCCTCCTCCTCCTCCTCCTCCTTCCTCCTCCTCCTCCTCCTCCTCTCCTCCTCCTCCTCTCTCCTCCTCTCCTCCTCCTCCTCCTCCTCCCTCCTCCTCCTCCGCCTCTCCTCCTCCTCCTCCTCTTCCTCCTCGCGCGCCTATTCCACATCCTTCCTCCTTCCTCCTCCCCCTCCCCCTCTCCCTACTTCTCCTCCTGCTACTCCGATATTTTCTCCATCCTCCCCCTCTTAGCGCTCGACGTCTCACCCGGCCCTGGATTACACTGCATGCTCCTCCACATCCCCGACCAGGGCAACTCGTCTGGGCCCCGTTTCTGGATGGGCCCGTGGGCTTCCGCGAACCGTCTAGAACATTCTTGGGGAACAAAAACAGCATAAACGGAAACTTTCGGCGCTCCGCGCGGATTTCTCGGATTCGCGCTGGACCCCCCTCCCTGGCGCGCGGAGCGCGCCGGAGGCGCTGCCAGGGGGCGCGGTGCCAAGAAATCCGCACTGAGCACCAAAAGTTTACGTTTATGGCGTTGTTTCTTCTTCGATCCCTGCTCCAGCTACCCTGAGGTCCGAGATTTCGGAAAAAGTGCAACACCGCGAAAGGTCACGACCGGAGCCAAAGCCCCCATCGCTCAGCAGCATCATTCGATCGAGCCAGGTCGATCTGCGAGGGCCCCTGGGCCCGAAATCGGGCGGAAATGCCGACGCCCGGTGTGGAAACCTACATTTGGCGCGCGACTCTCGGGGACCGCGAGGAATCCAGAGGCCAACTCCGAGCTCGCACAGCACCGCCACCGCCCCGCACTCGGCCATCTGGAGATCGCAGCGTGCCCGCCTCGAAGAGATCACTCCAGCGAGAGGCGACTCTCTCACGCGCAGCCGAGCCGGGAGCCGGTCGCTGCTCCCTCCCCCCCGGGCTGCGGGTCAACGACAGGGGGGGGACCGACACGAAGGGGGGAAACCTCGGCCTTGAGGCGACGACACGGAGCCGACAGCTTGGCGACAGGCACCGATGGTGAAGCCGCACGTTTCGGGGCGGGGCAGGCCGACGGACCCCTGCCTGGGGAGACCAGAAGGCACCGATACCGCTGATCCCCAGGCCTCTCCTGGGGTGCGCTTTGACCAGAATTTCGAGGCGAATCCAGCGGTGGCGACGAAGGCCCCCCAGGAAACAAAAAAAAAAAAAAAACGGACGAAAGGTAGCGGTATCGGTACCTTTTCCTCCTGTGACGAGCGGCGATGAAGGGGCGATTGAGGGGGTCGCCGCATCCCTCCCTGAGCCTATTTTCCCCCCCCGAACGTTGCCCCTGACTGGCGCCCCCCTGCCGGCCAGCTTGAGCGGTTTCCTCAGCAGGTCCAGCAGCTCGTCCCAGAACCTGGGCGAGCAGGCGAAGACGTATGGCTCGTTCCGGAAACCCGGAACTATACACCAACACCGATCCTGACCAGGATCACCCTGGGCCCAGGATCGGTGTATACGCCCTCCTGCCTTGGGCAAGAAGGCATATACACCGATCATGGGCCCAGGGTGATCCTGGGCCAGGATCGGTAATGGTGTATAGTTGGTGCCCTCCGATGAGCAGGCAAAGACGTATGGCTCGTTCGGGAAACCCTGAACCGAAGAAGGTTGTCATCGCTGGGAAAAGCCGATGTTTACTTCCGCTGGCTTCTGCCGGCCTTCAGCCAGCGGAGGCAGCCTGCTTTTACTGGCGCCACCTCCCGCCAGCCTTCCACCGCCGTCCGCCGAGGCAGAGATACCACCCCCTTCGATCCTCCAAGAGCCCGAGTTTTTTCTCGAACACATAACGCGCGTTATGTGGCCTCCAACCCACCCACCCAGCCAATAGATAACATAACGCCCGCCGCCCCACCCACCCCCGTTGCAGCAGCGCCTGTTGCTTAGCGCACAGGTATGCTGGTCGTAGTGCGCGCAACGTTTTGGCAGTGTGCGCAGGCATGTGCTTGTAGTATGTAGAGGCGCGTCGCGCGCGCAGGCTGTTATGGCACCCACACAGGCGCGGCGGCGCACTCACATTGGAAGAGACAAGCAGTTCGGTGTGCATAGCGCACACGCTGGCTGCGGCGGCAGTTCAGATGCACACATGCGTGGTGGTGTCTTGCATTGTGGTATACATTGGTACTGTTGTGCGCGCAGGCAACGGGGATAGGGGCCGTGCACGTGGCCAGAAAAGAAAAAAAAAAAACTTGCATATTGAATGTGATACGCTCGCGCCCGCCATGTTTTGTTGAAGTTTGACACTGTCGGGCATCTGGAGGTGTACGCGGGTTCTGTGGTGTATGCGGGCACTGTGATGTACATGCTGGCGGCGCATACAGGCACAAGGGTGTATTCGTACGCGGGTACAGGGGGGAGCAGAGTTTGTTTTTGTTCGTGGGCTGCTGCGTGGCGCGCGATGCTCCGGTGATTGTGATGCGCCGCAACTTCTTGGAACAATTCGTGTACTACCATCACGCCGACCACGGCGCAGTGGCCAGCTCGTGACCACGCAGTGACCAGTTAACTGGGAAGGATTTGCGGCTGGTGCCGCCGACCCTGGGCGCTAGGAGGAGGGGGGATGGGAGGGAAAGGAGGAGGAGGAGGACAGGAACGAGGACGAGGACGAGGAGGACGAGGAGGACGAGGACGAGGAAGACGAGGAGGACGACGGGCAGATGCGGGGGGCAAGACGTAAGGGCAAGGGAGGAATTGAGCCTCTTGGTGCCCTCTTGGGCGCGCTCTTGGGTTTATCTTGGACCTCTTAAGGGGCTTCTTGGGCGCCTCTGGGGGCCTCCCGGGGGCGTCCTGGGGGGGGAAGGCTCAAACTGACGGTTGGTGGTCCCTCTCCTGGGAGCCCCTTGGGCAGCCTTTGGCGTTTCTGCGGCCGTCCTGGGGCCGTCTTGGGCCGCGTCGGAACCCTCTCGGGGGCGTCTTGGGCCGGGGCCTTTTCGGACGACGCCGCGGCGCAAGGGAACGCGAGGCGCCGAAGGCCCTTCCCCGTCACTAGGAATCTGCGTCGCCGCGGCCGCCTGCAAATCAAAAACTTGCCAGGGGTGAATCCGGGCGGCCAAACAAACACTGGCCACAACGGTGTTGCATATTCAATGTGACACCTTCGCGCCTCCCCCCGCCCTCCACGACCACGAGTTTCGCTTTATGGGCCTCGTCGGGACCCTCGGAATGTACGCCGGCTCTGTGGTGTGCAAATGCAGTGTGGTGCACGCAGGCGTCAGTCGCCGCGCTGCGCGCGGCCGCTGAGGTGTGCACGCGGATCGTGTTGTGCGCAGGCGCTGTGGTGCACGCGGGACGTGCTTGTTCGGCCGCAGCTGTGTTGTGCAGGGGCGTTGTGGCGTGCGCGTTCGCAGTTGTGTGCACAGGCGCTGCGGTGTACAGGGGCACCGCCATGCACCTCGCCGGTGTGATGTACACATGCGATGTGGTGTATGCGTAGGTTGCTGCATCAACGCGCGTGGTGAGAGCGGACATTGCGGTGTCAACGCGCCACGTGGCGATCGCAGCTGCAAGGCCATTTCGCTACATCCAACAACAGGAATGCTGCTCTCAGAACAAACATTCGAGCGGCCGGGCACGACTGTGTTCTGCTATTTGCAGCGAACCCACCCACCCACCCAGCCACACAACGCGCACCATGTGGTTTCAAAAAACTTGACAAGGCGATGCCCTGTCTGGAACGCTCAATATGTACGCCCTCCGAAATCGCGCTTGCGCGAGCGACCACGTTCAAGCGAAGGTGGGCGGGGGGGGGAGGGACGGACGAAAGGCGGGGTGGGGCAGGTGGGGGGTCTTGGAGTAGTTTTCGACTCTAGAGCGTCAGCGTCGTCGTCGTCATCGCAGTCACCGTCGTCGTCGTCGTCGTTCCACTTCAGAGTCGATGGCACCGGCCGTAAGGCCTTCGCAATACATGTACGCCCTCCGCGATCACGCATGCGCGCGTGACCACGTTCCAACGAAGGCAGACGACAGCTGACCGCGTGCATGCACATCTCGTGCTGGGTTTGGACGGGGGCCCCGCACGCCCTGGCCCAGCGAGCCTCAGATCTCCAGAGGGGCCCAGAGCGGGTGACCTGGACCTGCCCCGCGGGCGGCACGGCGCGCCGCCCCCGGACGTCGATATGCACAAGCAAGCGCCACACACGCACGCACACACGCACACACACACACACACACACACACGTACCGCCGAGGACGGGACCGAGAGCACCCTGAGATCCACTGCCGAGGTGCTCCGAGCTGCTGCCGCCTGCTCATCCGCCGAGGTGTTCAGAGCTGGTGCCTGTGAGGCCCCTGCCGCCTGCCGAGGGGCCAGCCACCCCCGCCCCGGCGCCCGGGCGCCGCCGAAGTTGACCATGCTGGCCATACCCACCCCCTGGCGCCGGTCGTGCAGGCAGCTTTCTGGTCGCCTCATGTGTTCCAGCCCGCCCCGTCCCATCCCATCGCATCCCTCCACCCATCATCTCAGGCCGTCCAGAATCATCCTACCCGCCAGGGCCTCTGTGACGTCCCACACCCTCGTCCCGCCCTACCCCAGCATCCCATCGAACCCCATCCCGACAGGTGCTCCGTCAGCCCATCACATGTGTCCTGCATGGCTGTGCACGCGCAAAAATGAATGATGATGTGGTCACCCCAGCCCCCACTGCACGATTCCTCAATAGCCCCTGCAGGAATACCAAACATTGAAGCTATCGTCCATCCAGATTTCACAACACTCGACTGACGCGCGCGGTCGCGCAGCAAACTATGCCAGAGGCTGCCCCCCAGGCCAATGCGCGGCGTAAGAAAAAGCCTCTGCCGAGCTGCTTGGGCCAACGGCCCTTGTTGCGCAGGGACCGACGGAAGACTCGGCGGTGGACAAACCTCCCCTTAGTGAAAACCTCCCCTTGGTGAAAACGGCCTGGGACCGACACCGACGGACCTGGACCCGCAAAAACGACGGCCGCGACGCCCTCCCGCGAACCGAAGACGGCCCATGCCTCCATCGACGTGTCAGGGCAGGAGAGGCCTGTCCACCTCCGAGAGAGACGCCCAGGGAGGCTCGACGACGCCCTCGGAAGCAGCGAGCGTGCGCCCTCGGAGCTCCCCGCCGCGTCCGGCGGCACGCTCCCGGGCGGGCGACAGGAGGAGGAGGAGGAGGAGGAGGAGGAGGAGGAGGAGGAGGAGGAGGAGGAGGAGGAGGAGGGGAGGGAGGAGGAGAGGGAGGAGGGGAGGGGAGGGGGAGGGGGAGGGGGAGGGGGAGGAGGAGGAGGAGGAGGAGGAGGAGGAGGAGGAGGAGGAGGAGGAGGAGGAGGAGGAGGAGGAGGAGGGGCGCCCCCGCCCGCGGCGAAAGGGGGGCACCCGCGTGGGCGGCGGTGGGGCCCCCCCCAAGGAGGGCCGCAGCAGGCCGGGAGGCCCGGGGCGAGGCCCGCGCGGTGCCTCGGAGCAGAGGCGGGAGCCCCGCGGCGCCAGCACTGCCTGGGGCAGAGGAAAAAGAACTATGCACATACACCGATTCTGGCCAGGCCCATCCCGAGCCCAGGATCGGTGCATACGCCCTCCTACCTTGGCCAGGAAGGCATATGCACCGATCCTGGGTCAAGGATGGGCCTTACCAGGAACGGTGCATGTGCATAGTTCTCTTCGCCCTATGGGGGGAGGCGAAGCGAGGCGAGGCGACTCCCAGTTCGCCCGCGAGGGCGGCCGCGCGCGGGGCTGGGAGTGGGCGCCGGGGCGCCGCTCCTTCAGTCAAGGGCAGGCCTGTCTCTGTTCGTAGGGTGCAGATGACCGTCCTCCAATTGGGACCACAAGTGGCTGTCCGACGTAAGTGTTTGCCTGGGGGGGGGGACAGTGCAAGGCAGGAGCTGGAGTGCTATGCTCGCTGCCTCTCCTGCGGGGCGCCAGCCTGCGCTGGCTCCTGGTCGCCATCTGCGAAGGCAGGAGCTCCATCTGCGCTGAGCTTCGACGAGGCCTCGTTGGGGACGGCCTCTCTGCGCGGGACCTCCGAGGAGACCTGCGTGAGGGGACCTCTGAGGCGTGAGGCCTCCCTGCCTTGACTCTGGGGTCCCTCCGGCGGGAGTGTGCCCTTGGGACTCCCAGGTTGGCCGAGCTAGCAATCTCGAAGTAAAAGGATTGCGCAATCTTCAGCATCTGGATGATGATCTGTAGTGCTGGGATGGTGTGAATGGCACTGGAGGAGTCATGCAGAAGATGACCAGTTGAACGGTGCCTGGGAAGATAGATGTGCATTGGCCCTTAATCATTTGCTCGCGGATCTGCGCATCTGCATTATGATGATTACCGCCTTGCGCGCGTCGTGTCATCTGCATACACGCACAACACGGCTCATGCTTCATACGTGGACATCCCTCCTCCTCCTCCTCCTCCTCCTCCTCCTCCTCCTCCTCCTCCTCCTCCTCCTCCCCAGACCATCGACGTCGTATTTGTTCACTGCGTGGACCCCCAGAAGTCTCGACACATTCTCCAAGATAGGCTTTCCAGCCCAAGCCAGGGCGGGGTCAGGGCCCCCAAAGGCCGAAGATTGCCAGACACATCCGGTCGCGCTTACCATGTTTTCTCTGGGCGAGGGAGACTGAGTCCTCCTCCCCCTCCACCAAGTCTACAGAAGAAATAAAGGAGGAGGAGGAGGAGGGGGAGGAGGAGGAGGGAGGAGGAGGGCAAGGGAAACGAGGAGGTGGTCTGCGCTGCTTCCTCCTCCTCTTCCTCGTCCTGGTCCCCTCCTCCTCCTCCTCTCCTCCTCCTCCTCCTCCTCCTCCTCCTCCTCCTCCTCCCCTCCTCCTCCTCCTCCTCCCCATGATGATGATGCCGATGACGATGATGATGGTGGTGGTGATGATGAAGATGATGGTGATGACGGTGGTGGTGCTGATGCTGATGATGATGCTGATGATGATGAGGATGATGCTGTTGATGCTGATGATGATGACGACTATGATCATGATAATGATGATAATAATGATGATTATGATGATGCGATGGTGATGGGATGATCTTGAAATCGTGATGGTGGTGATAATGATGGCGGTGGCGATGATGATGATGATGATGATGATGATGATGATGATGATGATGATGATGATGATGATGGTGATGATGATGATGGTGGTGGGAGTAGTGGTGGTGGTGATGATGATGATTGTGCTGATGATGGAGATGATGATGGTGCTGCTGGTGCTGATGATCATCATCATCATCATCATCATCAGCATCATCATCATCATCATCATCATCATCATCATCATCATCATCATCATCATAATCAGCATCAGCATCATCATCAGCACCAGCATCATCATCAGCAGCATCAGCATCGTCATCATCATCATCATCATCATCAGCAGCAGCAGCATCATCATGCCATCAGCATCACCATCAGCAGCAGCACAATCATCATCATCAACAGCAGCATCACCATCATCAGCATCATCATCAGCAGTAGCATCAGCAGTAGCATCAGCAGCAGCATCAGCAGCAGCAGCCTCATAATTCCTCCTCCTGCTCCTGCTCCTGATCCCGATCTTGCTCCTGCTCCTTCTCCTGCTCCTGCTCCTGCTCCTGCTCCTCCTCCTCCTCCTCCTCCTCCTCCTCCTCCTCCTCCTCATCCTCCTCCTCTTTCTCCTCATCCTCCTCCTCCCTCCTGAGAGCCTGTCGTACGTGGCCAGGGCGTCCAGCGCATCTGTCAGCACCGCCTTCTGGCCGGAGCCTGTCGCCCCAGCCCCCCTCCGCCAATTACTCCTCACATCCCTTCTCCGCCTCCCCCCCTGCTCCTGCTCCCGTTGCTGCTCCTGCTCCTCTTCCTCCTCCTCCTCCTCCTCCTCCTCCTCCTCCTCCCTCATCATCATCATCATCATCATCATCATCAGCAGCAGCAGCACATCATCATCATCATAATCATCATCATCCTTCTCCTCGTCCTCCTCGTCCTCCTCCCCCTCCTCCCCTTCCTCCTCCTCTCCTCCTCCTCCTCCTCTTCCTCCTCCTCCTCCTCCTCCTCCTCCTCCTCCTCCTCCCCCTCCTCCTCCTCCTCCTCCTCCGCCTCCTCAACATCCTCCCCATACTTCTCATCCTTGTCATCCGTTTAAGGTAGCTGCGCGACCTGCGGCGACTGCCCAATCCTATTTCGTTACACGCTTCTGCCACTTCCCCCACCGACTGCACGGGCGCTGTTACAGCGTCTCCAGCTCCATTTTGCCCACATACTGCTCACCGACCACAATTCTTGAACACTGCGCCACTGGCTGCGCTCTAGCGACGGCCACTGCAAAATGCTTCGATCTGCTTTCATGAATGGGGAGTGGGGGGGGGGCCACGGCGGGTGGCCCCACCGCGCTGCAGGCCCCCGAGTCCACAGTCACCACGACCGCTTCCACGCTGGATTTCTGGGTCATGTCCGGGCGCGGCCTTCAATTCGCCAGCCACCTCGCACCAATCCCACCTCGCACCCTCGCACCAATCCCACCTCGCGGTTGCTCACTTCCACCAATCCCACCTCGCACCCTAACCGCCTCGCAGTGGCCGTACTTTGGGCACGCCACTTGCCCAGGCTCCATCCTCTGCCCCATCGCTCGCTCTCGCCCGATGTTCCTTTTTATCCTCGAGGGGGTCTCCCGGGACTTTCGGGCAGATCAAGGTGGCTCATGCTGACTGCGTACCAAACGGGATCCATTTCTGGCTTCGGCTGACCCGCGCTATCTCCACTTTGGTCACCGCTAGTCCGTCCCACTTCGTTCGCGCTCTTGGTGCAGTTGGCGGCGATGTGCCCTTTCTGGCAGCATTGATAGCATTCCCGCTCGCTCGTGGGCACGTACCCTCTGCCGACGGCCTTTCCTCCTACCATGTACGCTGCATTGCCTAACCCCCGGCACCCTCCGTAGTTTTCTTTGGTGTACCCTTTTGGCCCGCTCGGGCACCCTATATCTTTAGCGATATGGTTGCCTTCGCCTTTGGCTTTGCAATCCCCAGCCATATTGCCTGGCCGCCACACTGGTGGCACATTATATGTCCGTTTCCTTCTCTCTCATGCACAGCATCAACGTTTCCATCTCCCCATCTTTGGTTTTCAATCCAGACGTTATAACGTTCACTTTCCACAGGCCACCAGTTGCCTTCATCATCGTTGCCTCCCTAGTAAAATCCAGCACGCGTGCCCAGCCCGTCCAGGTCACCAGCTTTGCTCACGTTGCCTAGGGTCCATGGCGTTGCTGTTTCTGGTGTCAGTATCCACGCGTGCCTTGCGTGCCCAATCTCTACGCCTCAGGTACAGCTTCTGGTAGGTCTCGGAAGTCAGCGAATCGAGCGTTTTGAAGCACTCCTGCTGCCCATCATCGAAAAAATGTCGCGCATGTGTATTGATGATCCTGAGGGCCATTATCTTGAAGGGGAGAGGGAGCTCGCAGGTTTCGCCGTAATTCTCCACCTTCCCACCCAAGGCGAACCACTGCTCTGATTGATACGATGTGTCACTCACCTTTTTTGGCTCATCGGGTGTCATTGCTAAGATCAGATTCGCTGATAGGGCTGCTCCCGGCACCGCAGAGTACCACTTACATTTGTATGTGCGCAATCAGCGCTTCGCCCTCTTTCGGACCGTGCAGTTCGCCTCGCGCCTCGACGCTCTTAAACCTTCCAACGAAAAATGTATCGTCGAATTTGATCTCCAAGGTATCGTCTTCTTTCCTGTGGTCTTCCTCTCTTTGCGTCTCGAGGCTGGCGCGATTGTTTTCGGCGGCTCTCATGCGTCCGCTTAGCATCCTTACCCTGTCCCCTTTCCTCACCAGGGTCTGGGACAGCTCCATCCGTAGTCTCCAGTTTGGAGTATAGAGTTTTGAGCGCATTTCGGATCCCATTGTTGATCTGGGCCAATGCGTTGAGCAGCCACTCGCGTTGCAACTTGTTACGGCTCGGATGGCTTTGGACTCGCTTACGGGTCTCTGGTGTAATTATCTTGTTTATTCTGGGCCCGATCTTGTCTGCCATCTACGCCAATGTGTTATGAGTGGGCATTTCTCGGCGATTACCCTTTTCCAGTTCGGCGACCCTCGATCTTAACATGGCTGTTTCGATCTAGCGTCTGCTTTCCCGAGCGATTACCCTTAGCATCATTAACATCGCATGCTCGGTGGACAGCTCCTGGTTGCCTGCGCGTTCTTGCTCATCCAGGCAATACGCCATCGCATCGCGGCTAGCCTGCTGTGCAGCTTTGACACACTCAGAATCATCTTGCTGGTAGGCTGGTAGGCTGTCAGACACTTGACCCCGAAATTGGTCAGGTCGTACTACATTCACCCCTGACTTGTAGGTATACCAGCTCCTGGCCTCGCTGCCATGACCTCGCTCCGCTACCATGCACAACGAACAGAACGATGAGAATGAGGATTAACTCTGTTTTACAATGAACGAACGAACACTAGAGCATATAGATGTGTCACTCCGCCACATGGCGATTACAATACTTGAGCCAAACGCCAGTAGTTGCAATGTAGCATGGGATCCGATATCGACGCACCTCCTCCTGTTGATACTCCTCCCCCTCCTCATCCTCCTCCTCCTCCTCCTCCGCCTCCTCCTCCTCCTCCTCCTCCTCCTCCTCCTCCTCCTCCTCCTCCTCCTCCTCCTCCTCCTCCTCCTCCTCCTCCTCCTCCTCCTCCTCCTCCTCCTACCTCTCCTCCTCCACCATCTGATTATCCAACCGTTCCTCCGCCTCATCATCCACCTCCCAGCGCCCAGGCTGCCGCCCGCCCCCTCCGCTGGGCGAATTGACTTCGTCGCGCACCAACACGCCGCTCGCCTTCACGAACAGGCTGGGGTCCGACGCGTCCGGCTTGCCCCCTCCCAAGGCCGACCTGCCCCCGCTGTGGATACGACGAGGACACCCGCGTTCGCGCAGCGAAGTAGATGTTATAAAGCTCATGATAGCGATGGTGTCAACGATGGTCAAATCTCCAGCGCCTTCTTTTCTCTGGCGAAGAAGACCTTGACGATAATGTTCATGATGGCGGTGATGTCGACGATGATGAAGTCCCCGGTAGCATACACGAATAACGTGCACCAAGAACATGCATGGCGATAACACCTGTAGCAATCACTGAGCACGTAAGTGCGCCATTCATCAAGAACCGTCACCAAGAAAAGCCATCCATAACAGACAGCCACGACAGACGCCCAGAACAAACAGCAAGAAGAGACGCTGAAAGCATTCATACACATCAGGCATCTAGAACAGGCACCAAGAACAGACATCAAGAACAGACAGGTAGGACATACGCCGATCACAGACATGAGTAACACATATCAAACACATTCACCATGAACAAACAGCAGCTGTATACACCCAGACGAACGGTGAATGACGAGTCTGAAACAAGAACATACTCCAGTAACACACATTAGCCGAATATACACAATGCATAAATCAAGGTCAGACGCCAGGAACGGTGAGAATGAGCAGACGCCCAGAACAGGCATCAAGACCATGTACAAAAAACAAAAGCCAAGAGCAGACATCAACAACAAACACCAAGGACAGGCACTGGGACTATACAGCATGATACACTGAAACCACCTGGATGGGAATCGTTCGAAGAAAAAGATGTTACGCGAGTTGTTAGTTTATGGTTTGGGTTGCGATTGACACGCGCATGCGGTGGACACCGAAGAAGACCGCGACGATCTCACCGGCCGAAGCCTCGCTCAGGCGCAACCCGTCTCGCAGGACGGCGCCGGCCAAGTCGAATCCGGGGCCCAGCCCGCCTGCGCCGTGCTCGGCCACTGGCTGGTCGAACACGTCAGCGAGCAGAGCGCTGGGCGACGCCTGGATTCGGCAGCGCTCCACCCCGCTGAAGGTCACGAGGCGCACCGAACCACCGTCGAGCATTGATTGCATGGTCAACGTGACAAACAGACAAACTGTGCACGTCAGCCTTCAAACAAGCGCCACCACGGCGCACAACAACAACAACAACAACAACAATCATCATCCGCGGCATCATCATCATCAACATCATCATCAACAGCTTACCATCATGCGCCGCGTTTCCACACGTCACACGCATCCTTCTGGGCACCACACCCCATCACGGGGGATTTGTCTGGCACGCGGGGCCCAATATTCCCACGCCCGGATCTCCCGCCTAAGAAAGAATTGCCACCACCTCTTCCGAGGAACTTCGACATCCACAGCTCGGACGGCACATCGCCATCGCAATTGCCTCGCGCACCCCCCGCATCTCGGAGGAAGAGGAAGAGGACGAGGAGGGGAGGGAAGATGAAGGAGAGGAAGAGACAGGAGGAGGAGGAGGAGGAGGAGGAGGAGGAGGGGGGAGGAGGAGGGGGAGGGGGAGGAAGGAGGAGGAGTTGTAGTAGCAGTACCTCCGAGGACGAAGTGGTTATTACTCCTCGTTCGAATTGTTACGCCACCATCCTGCGGCCTCGGCGCGTGACCCTGAACGTTCACGCCCCTAGGCGCTGCCGCCCCCATGCTCGCATCCTCCACCTGCCCCATCCACGCCCTCTCAAGGAATCCCTGAAGTCAGCCCCTCGACCCTCGATCCTTGGAGTCCCTGCAAGTCATCCGTCCTCCTTCTTCTCCTCCTCCTCCCCCACGTGATCCACGCTTTCCAAAATAATGATAATTCAATAATTAAGGTTCAACAGGGACGCTTGGAAGGCCTCCCAGAGGCGATGCCGCAACGAAGGCCCCAGTCTTGAGTAAAAGGTGAAGAAATATCAAAAGGGAGCGACGAGGGGGGACGAAAGGGGAGGGGAGGAGGGAGGAGGGAGGCAGGAGGAGGGAGGAGACAAGGAGAACGAAAAGGGAAAGGAGGAGGGCGGAGGAGGAAGGAAAGAGGGACGGAAGAGGGAGGAGGGAGGAGGGAAAAAAGGAGGGGGGAGAGGGAGGCAGAGGGAGGAATAGAGAGGAGGAAAGAGGGAGGAGGAGGAGGAGGAGGAGGAAGAGGAGGAGGAGGAAAAGGAGGTGGAGGAGAAGGAGGAGGAGAAGGAGGAGGGAGGACGAGGAGGAGGAGGAGAGGGAGGAGAAGGAGGGAGGGAGGAAGAGGGAGGAAAGAGGGACGGAGGAGGGAGGAGGGAGGAGGGAGAAGAGGAGGGGGTGGAGGAAGGCAGAGGGAGGAAGAGGAGGGACGGGGGAGGAGGGAGGAGGAGGAGGAGGAGGAGGAGGACGAGAACGAGGAGGAGGAGGAGGACGAGAAGGAGAAAAGGGCGCCAGTCCAGCGTAAAACGGGAGGATGTCTCGGGCGGGAGCGCTGGTTTTGTCGGGACGGGGGCTGTCGGCGGCGAGCAAGAGCACCGCCTTGAGTAAAAAAGGGAGGAAGTCTCGAGCGGGAGCTTTGCTGTTGCTGGGGGGCGGCGCCGATAAGAGAAAGAGTAGCGCGCCTGTCCAAGGTAAAATGGGAGGAAGTCTCGAGCGGGAGCGCTGGTTTTGTTGAGACGGCTGCTTTCGGTGGCGAGCAAGAGCACCGGCCCTGAGCAAAAAAGGGGGACGTATCGAACGGGAGCGTTGTTGTTGTTGGGGGGCCAGTTTTGGCGGTCCCCCAAACCGCTTGAGGGTGAGCCTCATTTTCAACGAGAATGCAGCTGGCGCCTCGGCGAGAGCACCAGGGCGCCTGTAATGGGTCCAGCAATAGTAACTGTTAGTATTTAACATTCAACAACAACCGCAACAGTAACCACAACAACAACAACAACAACAACATCAACAACCACAACCACAACAACAACAACAACAACAACAACATCAACAACGACACCAACAACAGCAACAACAACAGTAACAACAAGACCAGCAACAACAACAACAACAACAACAACAACAACAACAACAACAAGTTTGAGACTGTTCGCTCTTATCTGCTCGCGTGCCACTCAACACGTATATCCCCAACCCTCGATACCCGCCCTCTTCGTCTTCGGTCGTACCCCCCTGGGGGTATATCTTCCTTACCTGCCGCGTGTAACTGGTGCAGCCTCTAAAACATGGGAAGAGAAGACGGATGGAAGGGGGAGGAAGAAGGATGGAGCACGGGATTAGCATGAGGGGGCTGGGAGCAGAAAACACGTGGCAAAACCAGACGGGCTGTTCGGGCCGGTAGACCCTAACGGGCCCAAGCGGGTTGCTGAAGCGTGAGTCATGCATGAATCTCGGGAAAGTCTCGAGCGATAGCGCGATTCCCAAGAAAATCGCGAGACAAACCAAAGCGAGAGCCGACTCCTGAGCGTCGAAGGCGCGGTGATTGTAAAAGTGCGAGGAAGTCCCACCCGATGGCGCGATCCTTGCATACATTGTGAAGAAGCCCCCGCGCGAAAGCGCGATTTGGAATACATTGTGAAGAAATATCAGGCTGGAGCCGTTTTTGTTGTATTTCGGGGCCCAAACATTCACCCTGGTGACCCCACACTTTCCCTTGTAAAGAACAATTGGCGAGCCCCGAGAGCACTGAGGTTGAAAAAACATCAAGGTCACCGGGCTTGGGAGACCAACAAGAATTGCAGTTACACATGAGAGTTCAACAACCACAACCACAACAACAACAACAGCAGCAGCAGCAACAACAACAACAACAACAACGACGACGACGACGACGACGACGACGACGACGACAACAACAACAACAGCAACAACAACAACAACAGCAACAACAACAACTATCGTTTTCAGACGGCTAGCTCCTATCTTCTCGCGTGCCAGTCAACACGTATATCCCCAACCCTCGACACCAGCCCTCTTCGTCTTCGATCGTACCCCCTTGAGGGTATATCCTTCGATCGTACCCGCCCTCTTCGTCTTCGATCGTACCCGCCCTCTTCGTCTTCGATCGTACCCCCTTACCTGCCACGCGCACTCAGCGCAGCCCCTGCAAGCAGGAGAAGAGAGGAGGGGGGAGGGAGAAGGGTGGAGCACAAAAGAAATCAGCAGGAGGGGGGCTGGGAGCAAAAAAAACACGTGGCAGAACCAGACGGGCTGATCGAACCGGTAGACCCCTGACGGGCGGGACGGGAAGGCGGGCCCAAGCGGCCAGGGCGAGCAGGCGGGTTGCCGAAGCGTGAGCCCTGCATGAATCGCGAGGAAATCTCGAGCGACAGCGCGATTCCCAAGAAAATCATGAGAAAAGCAAAAACGAGAGCGTGATTCCTGAATGTCGAGGGCGCGGCGTTTCAATTTATTGCGAGGAAGTCCCACGCGAAAGCGCGATACCTGCATACGTTGTGAGGAAGTCCTGCGCGAGAGCGCGACTTAGAAATAAATTGTGAAGTCAAATCTGGCGGGAGCCGTTGTTGCTGTAAGTCGGGGACCAGGGGTCCAATCTGAGCCCCAAGACTTTCCCTTGTAAAAGAGAGGGTGCGAGCCCCAAGAGCATTTTTTATTGAAAAATACAAAATGGTCGCCGGAAGGGGGGATCAACCAGAATTATTCTGTAAACATGAACAACAGCAGCAATAACAACAATCAGTTTAAGACTGTTCGCTCTTATCTGCTCGCGTGCCATTCAACACGTACATCCCGAACCCTCCATAGCCGCCCTCTTGTTCTTCGACCGTACCCCCTTGGGGATATATTTTTCTTACCTGCAACGTGTGTTTCGTGCAGCCCCCGAGGCAGGAGAAGAGAGGGCGGATGAAAGGAAGGGACAAGGGGGAGGGAGGAGGATGGAGCACGAGAGAGACTAGGAGGGGGGCGAGGAGCACAAAACAAGTGGCAGAACCAGACGGGCAGATCGGACGGGTAGACCCTACCAGGCGGGTCGGGAAGGAAGGCCCAGGCGGCCAGGTCGAGCAGGCGGGTTACTGAAGCGTGCGTGCTACATAAATCGCGAGGAAGTCTCGAGCGACAACTCGAAGCCCAAATCATTCGGTAGGAAATCCACAGCGAGAGCGTGACTCCTGAATGTCGAGGGCGCGGCGTTTCAATAAATTGCGAGAAAGTCCCACGCGAGAGCGCGATACCTGAACCTGAAGAAATTGTGAGGAAGTCCCGCGCGAGAGCGCGATTTGGGAATTCATTGTGAGGAAGTATCAAGCGGGAGCCGTTGTTGTTATAGTTCGGGGGGGCAACAACACAGTTTGACCCGAGTGAACAAACACGCACAAAAACAAAAACAACAAAAACAACAACAACAACAGCAGCAGCAGCAACAACAACAACAACAACAACCACCACAACAACAACAACAACAATTTCTAGCACGTGGGGACACTCCGTTCTCACCAGTGCCAGGGTTTTCATACGACGCCCGCCAATACCCCCACTTTGTGGGGGGGCCGGTTCAAGCTCTACCACATTTCCAAACGACTCTTCGCCACCACCCACACCCAGCTTCCCGCCCTATGACGTTCGGACACTTCACTTCGTGGCCTGCGGACGACCGGGCTACTACACTGGGCAAATACGTGACGTGTTTTTCTGGACGCTACGGTGCGATTCGTGCGATTTTATGATACGCGGTGCTGAAATTCTTAAGAAACCCAATGGTGTTTGAAGATTTCGGCGTGCGCGCGCGAAGAAAAAACGAATGTGTCCCATATGGTATTATTTGACAGGGATGATGGCCCTGGCATGCGCGCAACCGTTGTTGCAGAAGTTCGAAGCACGTGAAAAAGTTGCTCGCAAGAGCCCGTTTGACAGAAATGTTGAAAAAGTATTGGGTTTCCTAAGAAATCCGCAAGAGCGCGCGGGATGAATTTTTGAAACTTTTTTTTGAAAAACCATTGGGTTTTTCATGTTTTTATGTTAAAATCGCTACGAAAACTAAGGTTTTGGAAGGATTTCATCTTGCGCGCGCGAGTGTGCACTTCGTGTCATTTTTTGCAAAGGATTCTTGAAGTTTGGTTATGTTAGAACAAGACATGTCATTTTATATTGTTTTTTGACAGGGAAAGCGGGCGTCAACAAAACAACCGGATCCGGACTCCCCCGTTTTGCCTGAGACTTCCTCACGAAAATGATGAAAATGTGGCTGCGGCCTAGGCGCGGCGAGGGGGGCGTGCACCAGGGGGCCCAACAATAATTAGTCTTTAGAAGTAATAATATTCAACAAAAGCAACAACAACAACA